GAAAGAAGAGAATCTTTACTAACAATTACAATAATGGGACAAAAATATTCTATATTCAGCAATACATGTTTGACAATTAAGTACAAAAGTATAACATTTGGAATCAAGAAGAGGGGGCCAACATTCTTGTCTAAAAATTGGAATATGATTGCTGTAGAAAGGAGAAAACTCACGCTTTGTCTTGCAGGACCAGCAAAAGGAGTTTTCTCCTTTCTAAAGTTTGGCAAGTGGTGCACGCTCTTACACACCTGTCCTAGAGTTGGATGTTCGAAGTTTTCCTGTGGTAATGAATTTGATTCCTATTGACAGAATTGGCTATTCCTGGAGTTTGTATATTCTCCTCCTGTCTGTGTGGTTTGTTGCACAATTTTTAGAGAAAAAAAAGTATTGCAACTGCAATTATATTTGCAATATATGTTAAAAATAGGATTCTGTTCAGAATCCACGTTGTAAACAACTACAAAAACTATTAATATTTATAAGAAAACTGAAACATGAACAGATAAAATCACATGTATTTCAGAACACTTTGTAGAGGTCTGAACACTGAAGATTGAAAACTAGAAGTTTTTAGAATTTGCAGAGGGCTTTCTATTATCTAAATAATTTCAGCCTTTGCAATTTGATAATTGCAGTGAGTGACACAGCTGCACACATGTCAGGCTAGTGCAGCTTTGTTTTAGTAATGTAGCAAACCATCTAGTATGTGAACATTTTAACACACCTCATACAGTTAGAAACAACTTAAATTAAACTTTTAATAAGGAGTGTTTCTTAATTCATCATCTGCAGCTGTAAACCCTGTTTTAGAAGGATCACGCCTGTGTTTTGCCATTGAAATCAGCAGCAGGATCACAAAGACTGAGGACATGTTTAGGGAAATGTAGTGACATTACAAAAAGTGTGGTACTGCAGGCCTCCATTCTCTTGGTAATTTTCCACATTACAGTCACCATCATCAAGCACATTTAGTCTTCAAACAACAATATGCCCTAAATAAATTACTGTCCCACCTACAATTTGAGAACCTCCTACTTACACTTAAAAGAGAACAGCTTCAAACAGGTTTCAAAAAGGCTTAAAGCCACTGTATGGCCAAAGTAGTGCCAATAAAATAGACTAAAATAAAACCTATTTTTTCATTATGGATGTTTTTATTCCACTGATAAACAGGGGAAAACGTGCATCTGAGTGGGCTTGCATCTCCACAAACCTGACCCTCATTTGGCCTGGAGGAGGGCCTCCTCCTGTTTGTTTCCATGGAAATGGTGTTCCTTTGAGAATACTATTTCATAGTATGGCATAAACCTCATCTACCTTCATGAAGAATGTTCCGGAGTATAGTTTTAATTTCTATTTGCATGGAATCAGCAGTCATCAGCAGATGACTTCCAGAGAGTGACAAGTGAGACTTGATATGTCTTTGCTGGTTATGGGACAAAAATCCCAACCCTGCCATATTGGATACAGTCACATATATTAACAAATTTCAGACCCTAACCCTAAAAAAGGTATTACACGACTACATCTCCCTTCACTGTCTGCTGTAACAATAAGAGTTAAACAGTGTACAGTTCACAACAGTGTGTATCGATGTATGTCAAACACATGTTAAAGTAACTGTATTACACAGTATTATGTCCAGAAGGCTACTTCATTTAATGTAGTTTTTTAAGTACAACATAATACTCAATAATAAAGCAACTTAAAAATACTGTCATTGTTTGAGACCTATTGTGATACTGTTGTGCTAGGATATTGAAAAGTTAGTAAAAAGTGGCCAATTGGCACCCAAACCAGCACTTATTGTCCTGTGATGTAGCTGGCATTAACTGATAGTTATGATTAGAGATTAATTATTTGCCATTTGCCAAAGCACTAGTGCTCACTGTTATACATGTAAGAAGTGCCCTTTATTTTCATGAAGCCCGTGAGACTGCATGGAAGCATTATGTTCAGTACACAAACACGGACATAATAATTAAGAGTATTAAGACAGAATCTCAACAACATAATTACATATTCTCGGCTGCATGAAGAGGGTATACTTTCCAAGTTATAAATCTGGTTTCACTACAGGACCAAGTCCCAAAAGTGGTTCCCTTGTTGCATAAACGTCTGCATGTGTTAGATAATCTCATGATTAATGCTCACTGAATCTTTCTGCAAATGTAATCTCCACTCTGTGAAGAATATAAGACACTGCAGTGCACTGTCCCTTACAGAGACTGAAGAAAGAAACAAGGAAAAAGGGAATGCATTATGTTATAACTTCTATGATTAAATAAATTATCAATAAAAAAATATTACTTATGAGTAGGGCTGGGCGATATGGATCAAAAAATATATCTCGATATATTTTGCTATAACTTGATATACAATATATATCTCGATATATGTACAAGAAAAAATAACCCCCTAAAACTGAAAACTAACAAAAACAAATATGCCAAATTCCACAAGGTCCTTTTTTTTTTTTCATTGAAGTGTAAGAGGTCGGCAGTTCATATAGGAACATTTAAGATTATAAAAAACCCTAATTACATAAATAATAATTTAACTGTAAAATAAAAGAAATAATACATATTTCCTTCTTTTCATTCATAAATAAAACAACTCAACTCAAGCTCATCTTTGCATTAACTCTGTTATCCAAACCAGAACCATGAACTCCTTTAGCAGAAGAAACTCAGGATGTTCCTTATTTTAATAGATCCATGTTATTATCCAGCAGTGAGGAGCTCTGAGGTTTAATCCCACAATCCACTGCAGATCAAACCCAACGTTTCCAAACACTATTGTACAAGTGACACTGCAGCAGATTATTAATTAAAATATTCTGCATAAATAAACTTTACATTGCTAAACTTTACAATATATAAAGCATAACGACTCTAGAGCCACATCAACCCGTTTGCGATAATAATGTGTTTAATGCAGTTTTGCTCACGTGTGTTTACATTTTACAGAAACGAAATTTAAGCACATGGCTCATTTGCATAAACAGCGCACTTCTCTTGCAGCTCAGCTCGTTTAGCTTCTTTCGGGCTAAAGGACGTGACTCGATGGAATATGAGGATGTGCTGCTGGTGGTTTTGTCTGTAAATGGTGGAAAAGGTTCGTGGTGCTTGAAGCTTTTCACTGGCACCAACTTTCGGCGTTCACGGTGATAGTGACGAGTGAAGGAGACACGAGAAAAATAAGGGAGGCGGAGGCGACGACAGAGAAGGTAAACAAGCGAAGCGGCGAAATCAGAATTGAATATAAGCATTATATCGATATATACGATATGTCAGAATTTATATCGAGTTTAAAAACGATATATTTAAAATATCGATATATCGCCACCCCTACTTATGAGCAACAATAGTTTTGACTTTGAAATAACTTGTCTGCATATGTAATAAAGTATCAGCACATAATTGCATTAAACATGCATCATGCAACAGAAGATGAACTGAAAATGTGTCGTCTACCATTGTATTTTTCAGTAGGGGTGTGCAAAAATATTGAAATATTGATATATCGCATCGTTTAATGTGATGATACAGTATCGATACCGTGGGCTGCTGTATCGATATATTGCCAAAAGTATTTTTTGGTATATTTTACCAGATTATTTTGTTACAGCGCTACAGTTTTGTAGCTTGTTTAGTGGAAGGAAACTCGTTTATGCAACATACTTGACAAATTCACTGTTTTGATGATTAAATTGTTTGTGTTTCATATGAATTTTGTACAAGAAGTGGTTTAACAAAGACTTTCAGTATCACAGCCATGATTTAGCCATTATTTTTATCATATTGAATCCATGTAAAATATATCATATCAAATCGAAAGTGCACTGTATCGAGATATGTATCATATCGTAGCCTATGTATCGAGGTATGCATTGTATCAGCAACTTCTTAATGATACCCAGCTCTATTTTTCAGCTTCTCATAGAAACACAATATTGTCCAGTCTCAGTCAAGACTCTAATCTCTAAACAAAATTTGACAATCATGATTGTTTAGTCTGTATATCCTCAGATAGAATAGGCCAGGTTCTATATTAAAATCAGGCAATTAGCCCTCCTGAAGAATCTAACATTATTAGAGTCCAGCTGCAGATTTGTGTCTGATACATTCAGCAAGTAAACACTGCCATAAATGTGCTTTCAGCAACAGGATTTTAAATATCACATGGATTTTTGCTGTTTATTTTGCTAAATTGTGTAATGGGCTATAAATCTTCTGCTTATAATAATGGCGTTCCTGTTAAACCTTTAATTCCAATAAAAAGGGGCTTTTGTTAAATTGATAACATATGGTGTTGAAGGCGCAGGACACAATGTTCTCACTGCTGCTGGAGCGGTTGCAGCAGACACAAGCTCATGAGCAGTAAAGTCTGAGAGATCTTCCAAACAACATTAAGAAACTATAGGACACAGGCCACAACAGCATGGGGAATCGGAAAGTCTGTAACACCAAAAGATTCAAAGGGCTGGAGATACACACTCTCAGACACATATGGTGACAACCTGGGATTCCCTCTGGAAAAGATACTGCAATCAGGGTGTTGAGCAGACCCCTCCCAGTCCAGGAACTGATATTATACTTTTATCCAAACAACTGAAGCACAACTGTAACTGTAAATATGGCAATTATTATGATTTGCCATGTCTACATGCACAATGCAGCCATAGTCATAGTGTGCCTGGATGTTAGGCTTATGATCTAACTTTTGATTAAGTAAGTTATTAAAGCAGATCTGCCCACCCCCCTGTTCAACAGCAGCATTGACACAAATAAATGATTCATGAGTAATTTGACCCATAATGAGTATTACCACCCGTGCCATAGATGAAGGTGAAATACGAGGGAATGATGCGAAATATCTTTTTAATTAATGTGAATAGTTGACAGTTTTAGATCCCTGTGAAAAGCACAAAGAGTGAAGTTTGTAGTTTGTTATTAGTTTATTTGCTATTTATTTGTAAGTAGTGTTTTTGGACTCACAGTATGTTGGTGGCCAGCGGGAGGTCGGCTGCGGCTGGGGCCTTCTCCAGTCCTATGTTGGAGCAGTTGACGGCGCAGGACTGCGGGGGCCCCGACAGCAACACGCAGCTGCAGTTGAGCGGACACGGAGAGCAGCTCCGCGGCTCGGAGCCCCACACCTCCAGGCAGCACAGCGCCACAAGCACGCCGGAGAACAGACCCAATCCCGGGACGCAGACGCCATGTTTTCGCTTGGATAAAGTCAGTCCATTTCCACAAGGCATAGCTCACTCACATCGCATCGCCTCTGCTGGTGTAAGTCCACTCAAAGAGGAAAAAAACAATCGTACACGAACGGCCGTCAGGTTTTTCATGTGAAAAGAAACATTTAAATTAGTTTAATATTATTTCTGGTCGTTTTATCCCAGGTAATCCTTATAGTCGCAGCTGCTTCCTCTGAAAATAACGGAACCTCTCCAAAACTGTTTTAGGGAAAAAACTTTTGGAGAACTTCCTCTCTCCTCCTCCTCCTCGAGTCACAGGCAGTTCTTCAAGTCACCACCAGGGCGCTTAGACTTAGATCATGATTTATTTGACCCATAATAGATCTAGAAGAGATCATCCTGTCTAGCCAACTAGTCAAGAACTCGACTGTTTATTATTTCTGACATAAATAGACCCACATATCATCTTTATTTGGCTTTCAGTGTGTTCTTACTGCATTAAGCCTATGAAAATTATGTTGAACATGGCCAAGGAGAGTGAGCAGAAGAAGGGAAACATCTTCAGGTTAATTTGAATTTAGATTGGTTTAGTATTAGGTTAACAGGTCTGCCTGAATTTTATATGTCAAATGCAGTCTGGGGATTCGAGTAGGCCTATAGGTTTATATCAGTATTTGCACATGATGATTATTTATTAAAATGTCACACAGATAAAGTGGCTCAGGTAGTATGCGTCTGCCTATGAATGTGGTGAGGGAGAAAGTGGTTGAGGAGGTCAGGTTGGCAGCCATATTGTCCTCAGACAGTCCCAGGGCAGCTGTGGCACATGTAGGAGATGTATGTCTTGTATTTGAGAGATAAAATCTCCTCAGACTGCTGCTGCCCATACACATATGACAGCATAGTGAAATACCTCTGAAGATACAAGCTGAGAGAAGAATGTACTGAAGGTTTGTTAATGTGAGCAGTTTAAGTGAGACTATTACAGAGCAAACTTATTTCCATGATCCCAGATACAAGATGGAATGATTTTAAATTGTTATGGGGCAGTGGAGTTGTTTTTGGTATGTAGGCCTAAAAAAACTTGATGTTGTTCAAATTGATGCACGTTTTTATTTTAATGAGACTTTATTTACTGACAAGTTATTCCGACAAAAATCATGTTCCTGTATACAATAAAAATATAATATTTGCAAGACTAAAGCTTAGCTATTTTATCAAAACTAAATAACAAAACCAATGTTTAATTAATATGCACACACTGTCCACAACTTAACCAAGCCTCAGATAATGGAATTCCATATGTTTCATTAAGTACAACCATACGCCATAAAGCATTGATGTAGAAGTCACCTGTGTCACATCTCCTGATATGATGTGTTGGGTTATTCACGATTCAGTTCATTACTTCATGTGGATACCTCAGTGCACATCTTTTTCCTCTTCCCATAATTGTGTGCACCTGCTCCACCAGCTCGGCTTGTGTCACACATCTCTGCAGTGACCCCAGAGGGCAGAACCTCCACTCCAACAGGCTACTGTGTACACGAGTGTCACGGCAGCTCATTACTTCACATGGGGTACATCATGACCAGCTTATGAATACATATGACTGACCTAATTTTAGATGCACTGTTGTATACTCAAATTACCAAAATGGAATAAACAAGCTACCAGTATGCTATTCTACACCTTTTAATTTGCCCTGAAGCAGTTATAAAGATCATGTTACCTCAAACCTCAAGGTATAAATCATAGATTGCATATATGCATACTGTCAGCACAGTTGTCAGTTTTTCTCATTTTCACTGTAGGGACAGGACATGCCTCATGAACGCTCTGAACCTCCAGAATTCACTCACTGAGATGCAGTGGCTGCATTAGCATGGATAATTTGCTGACAATGCTGGTAATGGAGAATTTGGATCAGAGAGAGTCAAGTAAGTGGATTTCAGCATTAAAACTAGCAACCCAAATAAAACACTCATGTGAGCCTTACTCAAAGCACCAAATTATAACATAAATAGGATTGTGTCTAATGTTAAAATAATTAGAATTAGAAAATCATACAGTTCCTTTAAGACATGTAAGAATTGAAGAGTTGGGTTATTGCACCTGGAGACCTGGTGGGATAAAAGAAAAATGTCCATAATTAGTTCATAAAGTGTAACTGAAATGTGAATGATGATACACCAAATTGTAATTATTATTATTATTAGAAAGTAGGTAAAATGGCAGTTGTAAGGTATAGATTTCCTGTGTATTTGGAAGTGTATAAACTTCAAGGATACAATAATTAATCTTTTCATTCATCTTATAAACTCATTGATGGTCACTTTGCTTTGAAATATGAAGTGCGCTCTCTGTGCAGTAATTAAAACTGGACATTGAACTGTGTTTGAAAAGGTATGAGTAACCAATGCAGATTAAAATATGATCTTCAAGGCAACTGTAAAGGTTTTTTTATTATTACAAAGCCCACACACAAGACTTCTTCTTTTTTTTTAAATTACAAATATCATTTTTATTGTAGTGAATATGGCGGAGCTCTCCATTCTGAATTATGATTGAGATCTGAGCCTTCCTGTACCTCATATCTCGTACGTAGTTGTGGTGTATTGAGATTGTGTTATGGTGGGTCTGCTACTTTGGGCTGGGTGAAGGTAAACTGAGCCCCTGTTTGGATATGGGGAGGGTTCTCTGGACCGCCAGGAAAAAAGCATTTAGAGAGGCCTCAGTCTGTGTTATTGTAGGGCTGGAGGGAAAGCAGAGGTACAGAAAGATATGAGAAGAAAATACCAAAGCTGAGCCCAAAGGAGGGTCAGCAAAATTAAGGCTCTCAGGTCAAGTAGCAACAGACTAAAGGTGAACAAAAACGCAAAATATACTGTAAACCCCAAAAAGTCCATTATAACACACGAATTTATTAAGTTAGAGGTGCAACTTTGTGTAACTTTTCTGGTGAGGGTATACCGCCTGCTTGTGTCCATGAAGAATATATTGCTTTTCCTGGAATATTCCACAGTATGGAATTAAAGGGTGTTTATTACACTGATCTATGTTATATTGTTGTTTCGTCATCAAAAACTTATTTGGAACTGTGCTTTGTTTCATTCACACATGTTTAACACACAAACTAATATTTAGTCTGACTTCTTCTCTCAAATAGAAAACAAGCGATTCCACCTTGTAATATCATGTGGTAATATAAGAAGTGCTCCACTGCGCTTTTAAACTCCACACACCTTCACCAGAATCATGTGGATAATTTCAGCCTCCAGGGGTAAATTGCCAATCTCTACTGAACTAAAGGTAAAAGGTTGCTCTTAGCTGTTAGCTCACAAGGTGATGGACAGACTAATAAGACTTTACTCATATATGTGTGAATGAAAAACAAAACAAACAAAAAAAACACACACACACGCACATACTCCCTGTATGTTTTTGAGGAGACAAGAATATTCTGATATGTCTTAAAGATGCACTTGAAGCTTAATGCTTTTCTCATGGTGGGTTCTTTTTCTCTTCATGGAGATGTAGGCTGCAATGTTCTACAGTATAGCATTACACTTACTTATCTCTATGGACACAGCAGGTGATGCCACAGGACCAAGTTAAATTTCAGATCTGTGCAGAGGCGAGTCTATAACAGTAAGAATGCAAGTTTTTAGGTCAATAAAAACCCATGTTATTGATTAAATGTAACATGGATACAATGAATGCTACACTGGGACATTGGAGACCAGGAGGTGGTGGGCCCTCCTCCAAAAAAGAGTAAATTTTATGTAATATAGGACCTTTAAACATTTGTCACAAACCATTTTGTCACAAATTAACCTTGAAAAAATATATTCTTAGTGTGGTCCCCTTTTCACAGATCTGATTTGGAAAGGCATAAATTGCTTGTCTCCACATTGATACATATGTTTAATGCTATGATTTCAGACAATAACATCTGGTATGTCAGCTGTTGACTGTTCTACAGTGGAAATGAGTAGAAATCTGGCTTTTAAATGTGTGTCAAGGCTAAAGACTGTAATCACCACTGAACTCAACTCGCTTAAATGGCACATGTGGGCGGAGTAATGAAATGCACTTCTCAGCAATGCAATTAAGTTTACAGGTGCCCATTTGACTTCATGAGACTGCTATTGTTCCACACATACAGAACAGAGAGGACAAAAGCCTACTTCTAAACAGTGAGAGATACAGAACTACACTCATATCATACTCCATACACCTGTACAACAACTCACCCTTATGTAACAGATAAAAGTATGTAGTGTTAATGTTAATGTGTAATCATTTTTTGCACTGTTTCTCCTCACGACTTCTTGTACATAGATATATTTGTATTTATTTACGAATATATATATATATATATATATATATATATATATATATATATATATATATATATATATATATATATATACAACAGATACCGGGAAAACAACGGACATTTCAGTCCAGAAAAGTGCAGTATGGGAACAGCAATACTGCGCAGAACTCTCAAGCTCCCAGGCCTCTGGTAGAGGACCCGAGCTCAATGAGGGTGAGAGACCTACCACCGTGGAAGGTGAGAAACACATTTTTTTTTTTTATATATATAACAACCACCGGTTTCGGGGATTGCCGCCGCGACAGGCACCACAGACCTTATGCCCACAGCTATGAGCAACTGCATCGACAATAGAGGCTGAGATCATAGCCCACTCGGACTCCATGTCCCCAGCCTCCCCCAGAATCTGGGAGAACCTCTCCTGGAGGTGTGAGTTGAAGATCAGAGGGCTCTGCCCGACGTTCCCAACAGACCCTCACGATACGCTTGGGCCTGCCAGGTCCCTCTGGCTTCCTCCTCTGCCAGCGGGCCAAACTCACGATCAGGTGGTGATCGGTTGACAGCTCTGCCCCTCTCTTCACCCGAGTGTCCAAGACACGCGGCCGGAGGTCAGATGGCACGACAACAAAGTCGATCATCTATCATCTCCAGCCTAGGGTGTCCCGGTGCCACGTGCACTTATGGACACCTTTGTGCTCGAACATGGTGTTTGTTATGGACAAACTGTGACCTGCACAGAAGTCCAATAACAAAACACCGCTCGGGTTCAGATCAGGGAGGCCGTTCCTCTCCAGTCCCCTCTCCAGGTGTCACTGGCGTTGCCCACGTGGGCGTTGAAGTCCCCCAGTAGAACAATTGTATTGTATTGTAAACGTCTGAGTCTTTTCTTTACACTTTTTTTCACTTTCTTCTGACCACGTGAGATGCAACGTGTCCGAGCCTCCGCGGGCCGTGGGCTCGGCCCGGCTGCAGAGCTGTAGCCCGCGGCAGAGCCCGCGGCCGGGCTGGCCGACCGGCCCGCAGGCTCTGGTTCACGGGTTGTTCTGTTTCTTCTCCATCTTCCAGACGCG